ATTTGTTCGCCGGAGACTTATGGAACCGCGAAAATTTCAATTGCAAATGCCCGTCGACTTTGATACCGAAGGGAATAACGAGCTCCCAAGACGGGCGTTTTTTAAGCATCAACGCGATCCCGCCTCGTCGAATATTCTTGTTTCTCAAACGTATGTAAAGTTTGAATAATACAGCACAGAGAAGGCGAAGAGGTAGCGCGTAAAAAGGAGCAACGCGGAATAAAAATGCACCATTACGTGTCTATCGATCCCTCTACTTTCGCATCGACGTCGCAGCGCCTTCGAGGTCCCTTCAGAGTCAAAATAACGATACAACGATACAAAGCTATTACAATTTATGATTGTACATGTACCCTGTACACGTTTCACGTAAATCTCAAGCGCTACGGTGTGGCGAACATATTTTGCCCAACAGATTGTGAATAGCAATCGCAATTATTTCATTACCTTCGTGTCCTTCATCCCAGATGGCACACATAGTTCTATGAATATTTCTATTCTTCTGGAATGCAAATATTCATAATTTCAGAATATTTCAATCGAATATTCTATAAATATATATAGATTATTACAATTAGAAATCGTATATTCATAACAAAGAAGAACGTTTTTAGAATATTCGTTGAGAATGTCTTCGGAATATTCGTTCAGAATAATTTTTTAATATTCATCGAGTTTATGTATTGCACATTGTTTATTGTGTAACACACCTACCTTATGCAAAAGGCAGCGAGACCTGTGATCATACCATGTATAACCGACACGCTATATTCGATAGATTATTCTACTTACATTCGAAAAAGATTTATAGTAGTGCCAGTCGAATGTTCCACGAACATAAGAGAAATATATAAGAATGACATATGGAATATTCCAAATATTCTTGAAGAACTATTAAGAATACTCTTAAAAGTCGCCAGCAGTAATTAACATCAATGATTTTTATTGACCGTATCTGGCAATTAAAATTCTTATTGCGAAAAATATTACCCCAACCAGGATTCGAACCTGGGATTCTCGAAGAATATTGTTAAAATGTTCATAGCAGTGTCTTGTGCTATCTGGGACGTACGTGTTATAATATAACACCTGTATTATTAAACTAATTATCTCGATTCACCGATATCTATTTTCTGTAAGCTGTGAGCGAAACAACACTACCGGAAAACTGAAATATCGTTAACACTCGCTCCGACTTGTTTTGATTAACACGCATATTACTTATTACAGTCAAACACAGATCTGATACTCCTCTCAATTACGGCCGCGTAATACCACGGATATACTCAGACAACATCGTAATACGAGCGCGCGTATCAGATTTCGCATCTCCTAATCGAACGAGCGTTGCACGCGTTGCTTTATTTCTAGCTGTTTGCACGCGCTATCATAAGACAACCTGCTTTTATATCATGAAGTGGATAGTAATTCGATTCTGGAAAAACGAGAAAAGCTCCCCTTTCGTCGAACCGCTCACTCGCCCAGAAATTCATCCCGTTGCGAAACGCGTATGATGGGACGATTGCCAAACTCTCTCTCTCTCTCTCTTCACGACTACTTGGATATCGCATCATTTATCGTGTCAAACGCTACGATGGATATCGGCGTCTTATTGAGCTCGAAGAAATCTTTCAAATACCATATAACACATAAAAGTTAGTCTTGAAACGTTAGATACTCTGCTCTCATAAACAGACAGGCAGGAATGCCTGGATATTTCTATAGTTATAGAATACATTACACAGTAAAAAATCGTGTGTTGAAATGTTAAAATTTTCTTGTGTTACCAAGACATGATTATTATTTCAATGTAAAATTAACATAAAGATATGTTATTATTTTCGTAACATTTTTGTGTTATATTTATATTAACATAATAACCTGACACTTTATGTACGTCATTTAAACATTGAGTATCATTTTGAGTTCTTTCGACAAAACTATTTCACAAAATCAACCGAAACATGTAATATCTACATTTCTTAAAAATTATTTCAACTATTCTAATTTACAACTATTCGTACAGTTGACTTAGCCTGTCTGTTTTTATTGCATCACACTTAAGGTTGAAAGGACATGAACATAAATGTGAAGTATAGTGTTAATTAATTAACATTTATAATTTGTCAAAACGTAACACACGCGATGAATGTTATTTTAACTTCAAATTTAGAGTGGACTTTTTGGCACGTGTGAAAAATGTTAACATTAACATTTTATTTTTTACCGTATATGCACCCAGAGAAAAGATTTATTTAGGTTAAACAAATGAGATGCGTTGAAATCAGAAATCAACTACATTTTCATTTATTTCCACTAAAACATTTGCTAAATTCAAAGAAATAAATGTGAATTCTCTTAGGCCTGTTCTACAATATCTCGTATGTCGCTATCGGATGTCGGTACGTAGCTGACGGTTCAATGAGAAAATTTCTTTTTAACGTTTTACGCGTTATATTCTATAACAGGCCTTAAATATTCCAGTCTTAATGAGAATTTTAGTTTGGGTGAAGAAATCATTTCTTTCAAGTTAAATAAAAGTCTAGTAAGGTGAAAGAAAATTTGTTTGATTTCAAAGAAACTCTTTTCTAGGTGCAGAAATGTCCAGGCATGTCTGCCTGTCTGTGCACATCTCTCTTCGCTCACTTATCAGAATATCGCCCTTAGCATTTTGACGTTTGTCAATCAGTCCGTGTTGGGCGCGAATGTGCTCGACACACTCGGTACGGCGGACGTTTACGGAAGAATACAAATTCGCAACGTAATCTTCATGAGTAATCAACGCGCGTACTCCCGCGGGACTCGGAGCTGCTACAACCGATATACCGTTGTCGGCGACAGTGCGGCAGGTCGTAGAGACAAGTTCGTAACCAGCCGGGGGTTGTTCTCTCTCGAGAAGACGCGGCGCGAATTCTCGGGATTCTGCCGCGATGCACGCGCGCGACCGTATTCCCAAATCGATCGCGACAGCGATGGCGACGGGGAACGAGGGAAAAGGGATGCGGAAGAAGCATCCGGCTGAATTCCGATCCGGTTCTCACCTCGCCGAACAAGTGCACGAATTCCGTGAGGATGGTCGAAAACTATGAATACGCGCGTCGTACGTCGGGCGTATTTGTGTACAAATCCCGGGGGAGGAAAGGCGCGCTCTCCTACGCTGGGAAGCCACCCGTCGTCTCCCGTGTCTCACCTTTCACCGACCCGAGTGTCGTTATCATGCAAACGGTGATTTTCCACGATTCATAATGCAACGCATCCGAATGTCAGATGTCGCAAGACTCATGCCTAACTCCGGGAGGGGGAAGCTGAACGGTGCTCGATTAGAGAAAAGAGGTTTGATTCATTGCGTTCGCGATGCGGCATGAATATAAATCATCGGGCTGCGTCGCAAGAAAGGAATGAGACGGGCTGTCGCTCCGTCTGACAAAACCGCCCGATTAATCCTATCCATTCAGAAGTGGTCTACATCCAGAAATGATCCACCGAGTCAGATAAGTATTTGTAATAATTTTCATTCTGATTACTCTCGTTCGAATATTCGATCTTTTCTTTGACGGCGAATCCCTCGGAAGCTCCGTTTGGCGGAGTAATTTTACGGGGAATGTCAGGACTATTTCATCGTAAAAACTGAATCTATTCATATATGCGGGGTGTTATGTAATACCCGCCTCACCTTTCATTTACAGATAGAGCAGACTAGACTGACAATGAGTCGAAAAGTCCTCTACCATTTTGTAATTTTCACAACAGTTGATGAGTTATTAATTATTAAAAATATTCAAGCTCGCTGCGAGATGCGGCCGTCCCGCGATTGGCGTTGCTAGGCGCGCGAAGAGTTGTTTATGACACACGGCAACGGCTACGTATATTAAACAACTCCTCGCGCGCCTAGCAACGCCGATCGCGGGACGGCCGCATCTCGCCGCGAGTTTGAATTGGACGGTGGACCGGGCTAAGACAGCGACTTTTAATAATTAATAACTCGTTAACTATTGCGAAAATTGCAAAATGGCAGAGGACTTTTCGACCCAATCTAGTCCACTCTATCCGTAAATAAGAGGTGAAGCAAGTATTACATAACACTCTGTATATCGCCTTAAACGTAAAGAAGCTCGTTTCTAGTAAAAATCATTCCAAGACTATACTAAAACGTCAAGTCCAACACACACGTATATATATATATAAAAAATAAAACATAGGTAACATAAAACGGTAAACTCCGTTCGAAACACGACAATGCAAAGGGATTAACAGACGCCGTCTGACCGAAGGATGAGCAGCCCTCGTCCCTTAATCATAACAATACCAAATGTTACTCGATGATAACTGTATTAAGGCCGATAAAATACCAGGCTTGCACCCTCCGGTGCTTCCCGCTTGTTTGCCGAGCCGAAACGTCCCGCCGTGCAAACATTCGCGCAGGCCGTACAAGCCACTATCTTCTTTCCCCCAGGAAACTACGGTCGCGTGAGTGGCATTACGGGATTATTAGCGGACGGAAACTCCGCAGGCGTCTGCCCTATATCGGGAGCGGTTCCCTACATATTTGATGAAGAACGGCTGTGCAACGAGGCGCGCGTTACCATCGCTCTCTTTCGCCTTCCCCTATGGCTCGCCACGCGAGTGCGTGAAACTATTTCAGAATCGATACTTCGGCATCGAGAATATCCTTTCTCCGAAAAACTTTTCGCCGATTTACACTACTTCACGTACGACCGCTGTCGATAATTTATCGCGATGAGAAACTCAAGTGCGCGCAGTAACAGGGCGGAAGCGATAATTGAGTTAACAGAAAGTTTTCTTTATGTTAAAAGATTTCTCGCTGCCTTGGTCACAGCTTGGCCAAACGGGTCGTGGCCATTAACGCAAATTATCGGCAATCTATTCGGTTTGAATAATTTAAAACGGACGCAACCAGTTGACGTAATATCGAGTTATTAAACGAAGCGATACTGCGCGCATTGCTTTTATCGTCGCGTATTAATTTAACGTTGGCTCACCGAGTTAATGGCTGTCATGCTGCTAACTCGACCTGGATCTGTGTCCACTAGCCCGCTGTCACTCTGTAACAGAAACAGGAAGATGGCAATTTAGAGAATTGGGAAAGATCGATAATTGCTCCACTGCTATTTGCACGGAGCTAAATTTCGCGTATACGTCGCTGCCGCGCGTGAAAGCGCAGACTCGCGCGCATACATGGACAGGAGTGGAGTCAAATTCAAAGGGGGTCTTCTTTTTTTTTCTCGCGCCGCTCGTGTGTTTTCGAAGCACAGACGCGAATAATTTCCAAATGCAAAATTGCAAACGAGGCGTATTGTTAATAATTTCGAAAATGCAATATTGTGGAAAGCGAATAGCGTTCATATGAAAATGATTCGCGCTGCGGAATCCCGACGCACGTAAAAGCCGAGTGCACTCCACCGTCCGCTATGAAATTTTCTGTAATCACTCGTCGCTAGAACTGGGTTTCGTCAAATGTACGCTGCTCTTCCGTGTTATCGTTCCGCGATAAATTAATCAAAATCAAGTTTCACGTTTAAGCAGAAATACAAACGTAATATAAATTTATCTGACCGCCCGAGTATTTCGGTACCTATCTCCCGTGTTACAAATATAAATAAATTCTTATGCGGGCGCAAAAATATCTCAAATTTCGTTCGACAGCGTAGCTCGAATTACATCAAGTAACGCGGAAATGCGATATCGGAGCGGATATGAAATACTTCAAACAAATGTTCTCGCCGAACAGAGCTCTCGAAGGCTCCGCGGCATTTTTCCTCGTCGGTCAACGCGCTAAACATTCTTTGCGCTCCGCATATCGCATTTTACGAATGTCTGTTTCTTTCGTTCGCCCGGCGTTTCAATCCCGCGAAGCTCGCCAGCGGAGCGCGCTCGCCCGGATTCGCTCGCGAATTTTTACCGTCCCGGCCTGCCATCGGTCACTCCCGATGGATCTGGATCCCGGCGGGAGCCGGGATTACCGAGACGGAAATTCTCCGGAAAGGAAATGACGGCGAGTCGTTCGGGCGTGTCGGGCGTGTCGGGCGAGGGAGGAGTACGTCGACGACGACGTCGAGAGAAACCGAGAAACCCGGTGCCTCGTGGAGGGTGCAGTGAAGAAATAGTACAAAGGATGGGGGCGGCGATGGCGGTGGCGGCTGCGGAACCGAGACGAAAGAGCCGACGTGCAAATGTCGTTCTGAACTTTGATCGTAAAACAGCGGCAGACTTCTCGGGTGGGTGGAGCATCCGTCTTGAACCGCTGCCAAATCGGTTAAGCGCGAATAAATTTCCGTGTCAAACTTCGTATGAACGAAGGAACCGACGGTTCCTGCGTGTCGGGCAAGGTTGGACCTGTGCTGGCGGAAATGGAACCGCGGGCTCTAATGTCTTCGCGGACAAAAGGGAGCGTGAAACTGAGAGAACAGAAAAGAAATTGTGCTCGCTGATAACATCGATTGTTGATGCGCGAGGAAGGTACGATCTTAGTACAATATTACTGTCTTTCACAACGACGGTACTTTTTCTACAGTGCTGTCGAAAATGTCCAAAATATCTTGAAAATTACGAACGAGTTGCCTAACTTGATTGAAACCGATGGTTAAACCGCTGACCAAAATCATGTACACCAGTGCTTACTAATGCCCAGTGGACGTTACTTTATTTTATTTTATTTCTATAATGTCCCAGCAAGGCCAAATAACACCCACTGATGCCCACAAAATGCCTAGTGATGCCCTAAATCTGTTCATACTACAATTTACCCATAGACTTCTGTGCTACCTTCGAGCTGAAAAGTGAGGCAAGAGTTCCGCCATGTCTTGCGAGGTAAATTTACTTAACTGTGTGACAGACCGATGCACACATACTACTTTAGTTACCTAACAAGACATGGTAGAGCTCTTGCCTCACTTTTCAGCTCGAAGGTAGTCTAGTAGTATATACCTAAAGGTCTGTGGGTTCACCCCTTGATTGAAACTTGGTAATTTATCGAAGTCTTATCATTCATTCAAGTTTTATTTATTATAAAAAATGCCCAGATATAAAATATCTAAGCAATGATATCTAAGAGCGCAACGTATGTGCCCTTAAATAATTAATCTGCAATCCAACTTATATTTATTGTTTTCTCAATTACTTTGTGTGGAACGTGAGCCCATTTTCGTGGACCAGCCGGCCATATAATAAACGGTAATAAAAACCAAAAGCGCAGCGCAGCGAGAAATTTCCCCCGAGTCATTCCATCTCGAATAAAAGCTCAACTTACATATTGTTCTAACGAGCGGAGGGCTCGCGTATAATGAATAAACAGCAAACGCGGACGGGAGTTTCGCGCTACGCCATTACGCGCCAACGTTGCGAAACGCGCGGCAAAAAGACGCACCTAACTGTCGGTTTGTCTAACAGAGGCGGACGAAGGATAACCGAGGCATGACGAAGATGCAAAGGTGTCGTCCCGGGATGCCCGAGGAATACAAAGTCGCGGGCCGTAGTTGGCGGCTAAAACGAAAAGTCATAAAACGTATTATGACCGCCTCGTAATTTACGGCGAGGCGACCCGCGCGAAATCGCCGTCGACTTTCCGCCACCGGATTTATGACATGGCGAGGCAATGTGCATGCACATTGTTTCGCTATGCAGTTACGCCGGGCGGCGAGGAGAACCTGCGGTAATCAATTATCGAAGTGTTTAAGTTATAAAAAGGGTCGCTTTAATTAAATCTGTTGTGTCAACTTTAAAAGCCGCGTAGCATTATTAAAAAAAAAAGAACCAACTTTTTATTAATCGATAACACATATTGATAAAAACGTCGCAGAATAAATATATGAAGGCAAATGGACGAAATGTTAATAATATCACGTGTACATGTATATTACATAATAAGCTTTGGTAAACCACTCGACTCATTGCCGGTCACTCGTTACATCTGCACAATGCAATTCGCGATGACGACACAAGTTTTAACTAGATTTTATTCGCCGATTTATCTTAATTTCAGTCATCGATAAAATTACGGATATCTTTTTTTTTGTTGCGAACGCGAGGATTAATGTTCTCGGCAAGTAAAGTGCAAGTCAGTGCGCGAACGCCTTAATTTCAACGTTGCTCGGAAGAACTGATTCGACAAGGGATTCGCCCGCGATCCTGCGGTCAGGCCGATTATGCAGCGTCACGAGGCGGAATGAGAATCCTGGAACGCGTCAACGCATGCCGAGCGACGTATAGCGCGAAAGGTCGTCAGAGCTTCATTAGCTCCAGCTCGACTGCCGGGAGGGTCGAAGTTAGGCGAATGTTATTAACGTTCTACCTAAATCCCTCGGCTATCCTCCGAAACGCGGGGCGCATCGAGCACGGAAATGGGCACGATACGATGAGTTAGGCAAACGGAAGATGGTTAGAACGCGTCCTCTTGCCCTCTCGTTCTGAATTTGCGGATATCCGTATATCGGATATCCGACGTTCGGCATATCCGCAGGTCTCCGCGCTCGATAGCCTAAAATCCCGCCCGGCGGTCCCGTTTTTTCAAACGGATGTTTTATTTTACCATTAACAGGCGCGCGCGGCAACGTAATGCGATATCGATGCGCGATAAAGTTGAGCCGCGCGGGATAAATTTGGCGATGATGCGCAGAAAAATGGCAATGATTAATTTAGATGATCCATCGGGCGCAACATCCGTAACTACGCGGGGAGTCTGAATTAATCGCACATTCGTGAAATGCGAATCATTCCGGATTGCTGCAAATGAATATCGGGTAACGCCGCGCAAATCTCGTTCGTGGCATATCCAATATTCAGAAATCGCGTTTTCCGGGTAACGGATTATATAAAGCAAACATTATAGCATTCAATATTGCACAACACTCCAGCGCGCGGAATAAAAAGCGCTGTTAGAGCCGCTACGTTCATCGTCGATTTTAATGAACGAGCAGGTTCATCAAAAATATTAACGCGAATGAAACGTGCAGAAATTAGTACATTATTACCAACTCAACAGTGACGACGGCACGGACGACCTCGATTCGTTTATTCAACAAGCTCGGAACAGACATTTCCAACGGAAGAAACGAGGACGTGAAGAGCGAACTATTGCCGGCGACCATTTTTCAATATTAAGGAGGCTTTAGGGATGATTTAAATAAGCTCGAGAAAGCTCGGCGGTACGCGACCTGAAAAGTCGGACTTGTTCGATTTATGGGAAGACGCCGGAGACAGCTTAGAGTCTCTCTTTGCGCGCTCGCATTTAAACCTCGCCCTATCTCTCCGCGCTGTTTCTCTTTGCTACTTCTCTTTGTACTACCTCGTCTCTCCTCCTTTTTATCGCTCTCTAGATCGCAGACGCGAAACCGTAAAAACCCAAGTTTATTGGTGTAAGGCTGATCAAGATTGTTGTTCGGATAAGGAAGTACAACTTGGCTCGATACACGTAATCCGTTCGTTCGACACGTACAATGTAAAAATTAAGCTCCATAGATTTTCGCATTTTATAAGTTGCCCAATTAAGATTTATCATAGAGGTTTGTGCTACGAGATAACATGTCAATTGTACAGACCGGATTCAAATCCAAACGAGTCGCAAATTTTCTAACTTGATTGAAACTTAGTATTTCAATAGTCTTATCATTCGTACAAGCTTTATTTTTACAATGTGTGTATTGATGAAACGGATCGCACATCGTTAAAATCTCCAATCACTGCACCCACAGAAAAAATGTTCGGATCCAATGCTATTACACTTGAATTTTAATCTTAAATGAAAAATTCTAAAATCTAGAATCGTCTTTTGCCGAATATCATGGCGTCAACTTCGTGCGTTGTAAGATACAGCAAGAATATATAAATTTACATTTATATAAGTTACTCTTGTCTCAATATAGTAAGTGAATCGTTTTGAATTCGATAGAGGAGAAAAGAATGATTGATTTTATTTTGATATTGTCCTATTTTTATACTAAACGAGGTTGTGAGAAATATAAATGCGTCAAGAATATTTTCTGTCTCGGTAACAGAAATCCTTTCCGAGGGTGTGCGTGTCAGGGCTTCGTGTACTTTTATAAGAGAA